TAATTTTCTTGAACTATTAGTCCAATCCTAAGCCCATATCCATCCAAACAAACATAGTGAAAGTGATGTCAATCTTTTGCACCAAACACAAATTAATTAAACTTTGTGATAAGCCGCGGCCGGCATGTAGGACTTATAGTTAGGACTAACCAAAATAAAATCAATAAAAAATTCTATAAAAAAATTGTAATATTACTTCAAAATTAGTGATTCATGTACTAATCTATTTTTTAATCAAACTAATTTGAAACATTATGTGAGTGTCTAATGAAATTGCCAACTGTAATTATTCAAAATGAAATAGTTGGTAACCGATATATTTATATTATGAAATTTTATTTTTAATTTAAAAATTGAATCAAACATTTTTTTAAATTTTGTTGGTTCGAATTAGTTGGAATTAGTGGGACCAAAACACCAACCAAAGCAAAATTGAACAAGCACCCAATTTTTTTAACCAAATAGAATTATTGCTGTTAATGTATAGGTAATTATTAGATACTCTCGAAACATTTTTCCAAACTAGTGAGTAGTGAAAAAATTAACACATAAGACAAAATAACTCAAATTTGTTATAGATAATTAAGAGATAAGAAATGATTAAGTGTAATTCCGTTTTCTTATATGTTGGGATCACCACATAGACAATGAGATTACCTCATGATTTGATATCTATTTTTAATGATAAGGAACTAGAACTATTAATTACTGGACTTCCAAGGCATAGATTGTGAGTTTGCTTTTATTAAATTTATTATTTTTACTTTTCGTTTCTCAATCCCGGGGAAGTTAAGGGATACTTTTTTCTAATAGTATCATTGTTTTTCAGTGGATGACATGAGGGTGAATACAGAGTATTCTGGTTATAAGTTAAGCTCCAATCTGAATTTTTGGTACTAAAGATATGCCTTAATTGAGGCTAAAGAAGTTGGTGAATTTTGTTATCTTTTGTTTGAAAGTCTTTGAATTTAACTATGGCGTACTGGTAGTATTCGTACTCTCTTTGATCTTAACCGCCCGTCTACGGATGGCTCTGGTATTCATCCTCTCTTCTTTTATTAATTATTTGAACTTCATATTTCATATATATATATATATATATATATGTATAATATGTGTGTTGCTGATTTGAGTGATTTGTATATATATTATCATTACCAAGTTCATGGTGATGATGATATATATATGTATGTATATTCATATTTATCTTTTGGATTCATAAATTGGGTGTTGTTGTTGTTGATTTGGGTGTCCTTTATACTACAAAATCGACCTTTGAAATCCTGAGAATTTCTCTATAAAGCTAGAAGGGAAAGATGAAGAGGAGGGTGGTGGTGGGTTTTGAAGATGTTGGTTCCAGAGAAATTCATTTCATCTTTTTCAATCTAAGCTCTATCAAATTTTGATAATTGGAGGCAACACTACAGGAAAATATAGCAAAAACGACGGGTTTTTAGCGACGCCGCGCCCCCCGTCGCAAAAAACCGTTTTTTGCGACGGTAACTTCTACTGTCGCAAATAATAGCCTTTAGCGACGGTACTGACCCGTCGGTAATGAAACTAAGCGGAGGCGTCGGACAAGTTTTTTTGTAGTGCAAGTAATCAATTTTTGTATGGAGTTCGCTTTTGAATCCACCTCAATTTCATAATTTTCTTTGAAATCCAGAAAATTTCTTTGGATTTCCAGAGAATTTCTCTAGAAAGCCAGAGGAGAGAGATGAAGATGATGGTGGTGGTGGTGGTAGGTTTTGAAGAGATGAAGATGGTGGTGGTGGTGGTGGTGGTAGGTTTTGAAGGAGTGGGTTCCAGAGAAATTCACTTCATCTTTATCAATCTAAGCTCTATCCAATTTTGATAATTAGGGGTAAATAATTAATTTTTGTGTAGGGTTTGCTTCTGAATCGACCTCAATTTCATAATTTTCTCTAAAATCCAAAGAATTTCTTTGGAAAGCTAGATGGGAGAGATGAAGATGAGGGGGCTGGTGGTGGTGGTGGTGGTGGTGTTGGGTTTTGAAGGAGTGGTTTTAGAGAAATTCATTTCATCTTTTTCTATCTAAGCTCTATCCAATTCGTAGATTTCTCTGGAGAAAATTTCTCTGGATTGATGTTCAAGGACCTTAGACATTATGAAAATATTAGATATCCTTTATGCTATAAAATCTTAATACCAGAGACCCTAAAAAAATCCCCCATTTTGTATTCTGCTTAATATATACTCTAATAACACTATTTACTTGTAAATTTGATTTTTAATGTAGTCAGTAAAGGAAGAATATCTCTATTTTTCTAAAGGGAAAATTAAAATTCAATGCATATTTTCAATTTTCAATTAGTGATAAAACTTAACAAATTTAATAATCGAAGTTGTAAATTTTTTCATGACTTTATAATTTTTTTTCTTCTTACAATTTAGTCACAATTTCTCATCATCTAAATGTCTTTCTCACGGGAGATGCTAATTTTGAAATAAATTCGCTAAAAGTGTACACATGATAGATAAATTTAAATAGTATTTACTTACTACAAATACTTTTTGCTGAATTTAAAATAATTTCATTGAATTTAACAAGTAACACATTCGTCTCTCTCACTATCACCACTTCATTAATATCTTATCATCGCCATCACTATCATCACTGATATTAATATAATTACCAATAAATTAATAATAGTGCATGGAAAATATTTTTTTAGATATAAATATTTAAAAAAAATCATAAAAAACTATTTATTTTTTTCTACTTTTTCCCGAAAACAGAAGAGTGTAATATTCCCACCAAAGCTTCCGTTGACAATGGGCATACAAAAAACAAAGGGCTTTGGCAATGGTTGATATTAGTGTGGTTTTAAAGCTTTTTTAAAAGTAATTTTGCTTTCAATTATTAATTATGTGGGGACACGTGGGACCCATATTAGCGTTAGAATCAATCTGAAAACTGATTCGCTGGTGTAATGCTTTGCTGTACTTCATTGGGGATCAGTTCCATTCCGTGGTGGAGAAATTATTGATTGGTGTAAGAGTAATGTGACGTAATGTTTTATATGAATTGTAATTTGTAAAAGATTTAGGACTCGTTTCGAACCTATCATTTTACTTAAAAAGTCAAAAGAATTATTAAATTAGTTAAAAAGTCAATAGTTCATACCAAAAAATTAATTTTTTTTTATTTTTTATTTTTTACATATTTTTTTGTAAAACGTTAAAAAATTATCCAAAATATACTAATTTTTTTAGCTCATATTTTAGCTAAATAGCCAAAAAATTACTAAATTAGTCTGTTCCTAAACGAGACCTTAGGGTGTGTTTAGTTTGTGTTTGTAGAGTAATTTTTGAGATAAAAAGTACGAAAACTTATTTGATTTGTCTTTTTTTAGAAATAGTTTTAGAAAATTATTTTGGAAAGAGAATTTTAAAAAAAGTGATTGATTTGATGTATATGAGAGAGAGAGTGATTTTTGAAAGTAGATAACCAAATAAAATTTTGAAATTTTTTTGGAAAATATTTGTTTGGTTTGATTATCTTAAAAATTTGTTTGTAAAGAATTTTTTCTAAATTTTTTTTGAAAAACAAACCAAACAAGCCCTTAACATTTATGATTTTATGTTGTATAATTAAAAATATCAAAAAATATAATAATTTATGATTAATCAAAGATATAGCTTGATTGTGTTCCTCAACCAACTAATTATTTTTCGTCTGGTGATGCAAGATGGGAGCCTATGACGTGAATGTGGGGCCATTTGGGATAAAATAATGCTTGTAGGTTCCACCAAGGATCCTCTAGAGTGAAATTTTCCTAAAGTTTCCTAGAGTACTACATTGTGTGGTTGAGATTTACTGGCAAGTCACATCAGAAAAATTGATGTGACTTGTCAGTAAATCTCAACCACACAATGTAACACTCTAGAAAACTTTAGGGAAAAATCACTCTAGAAGATCCTTGCTCTGTAGGTTCCACGTTGGACACAAAGTCTATGATGTATTTTGTCCTGCTGTGTAATTTTGTAATGTATTTTTTTTAGTCTTTATTTATTTATTTAATTTTTTTATGGAGGTTTCAGTTTTAGTTGAGAGATTTGAGAAGAGATTTAAAAAAAAAGTAAATAAAATATGAATAAAATATACCTATATTTTATCTAATTTTATAAAATTTTTCTTTTTTTCTTTCTAAATCTCTTCTTAAATCTTCTAATCAAACACAATATAAAAGAAAAAAAAAGACAAGATCAAACTAGCCTATTAATGACTTTTTAAAATTATTTTATTATAAAATAAAAAGTATTTTAATTCAACTAGCCAATGAAAGTATATTTTAACCCATGAGTAATTATCTTATTTTTTTAAAATTTTATATTGACGGTGTATCTAACTAATAGCAAGATTTATAAGAAGGAAAAATTAGTGAAACATCTCTCTCTAACTTTGTGTATTAAGAGAGGTTCAATATATTTTTTTATTAATTAAGGTCTCTCGATGAAATTTCTCTGTGATCATGCCAAAGAAATTCCAAAATTTTTCTGAGTCGAACTTTTTCTGTAAAAATGTTGAGGAACCCCAACTAGTACGAAAATATTATATGTTATTTGTCTTATAAAATCTTAATATAGCGATCTTAAAAGAAATTTCCAATTACATGGATTTTAAACAAAAAAATAATAAAAAAATGACATGATCTTATTAGATCGATTCACGTGATCTTCTTACCTATGTAATAATTTCTGTCAATTAACACTATTTTGAGTCATTCTTAAATTTATTTATAACTAATAAAAATAAAAATATGTAAAAATTACTGAGTGGTGTTTTGGAAAGTTGGTAAAAAGTTGACTTTTTAGCTTTTTGATTTTTTTGATGATTTTTTTGACAAAAAATTGGGTTGTTTTGGGTAAAAAAAATTTGATTTTTTTGATTAAAAAAACTAAAAATTTAAATTTTTTTTAATGTGTTCCCAAAAAACCTGCGTGTCACTTACAATAATATCACAAATACACTCTGATTCACAAATTCAATAGTTAAGATATATTTTTTTACGTCAATATCACTAACATCAAAATAACTACTAAAAAAGTAGTGATTACAGCTGAGATTAATTATTGAAGAAGGACAGGATATGATTATTAACAAGTTCAGCTTTCTCCTCTTGGATGTAATGATGGCCATCATCAACAATGACCACTTCCATGTTAGGTACATGGCTCTTGCATTCTTCTCCTTCTATGTAATCCTTCGTCCCAAATGATTGAAACCCTACATCCTTGTTCCCAACTATGAACTTTGTAGGTACTTTGATTTTGGCACCTTGCCATGGTCCCAAGAGCTCCCAATTTCTACATTCATGTCATCAAAAAAGTCATCAAGTTGAAAAGCAAAATTCATCAAATTTAGGATACAAAATTTAGGTTCATTTGGCATTAGCTTTTTTTAATTAATTTTTTTTGTGTTGAGACTTTTTTAACTTGACTTTTTTAGCTGTATTGGTTTTTGTTTTGAGATTTTTTTAACTTTTATGAAAACAAAAGTGTAATAATTATGGATAAAAAGTAATATTTTTTCTTATTGACTTCTATAATCAATTGTCTTTTTGTGATTATTTAGCTCTAATACAAATGCCAAACCAGGGCTCAATCTCATAAAATGACACAAAAGTCACTTTTTGACTTTTAACCTATTTTAGGTCACATCATTTCTTTATTTTTTTTTATAATATTTTTTCAAAAAATAAAAGGAGTAAAAAAATCAATTTTAACCAATTTCCAAAAACAATTCTTTATACCATTTTTTATTATTGGATTGTGTATCCTTATTATTGTTAAACAAAATCATTTATAAATTATAAAATAATATATGAGATGTATGCTACGTTTTGAATCTTGAATTTTTGAAGAGAAAAGAAAAATTAAATTACTTATACATGTTTATATTTGGAGGAATATCAAACAATCATAAATGCAAAAAAAAAAAAAAAAAAAATTCACTTGTTCTCCATTGATTTGTAATTTTTTTTCCTTCCTATTTTTCATTTATTTGATAATCCCCCCTTTAATTTTTTGTGGATAACTAAACAAAACAGATATTTTTTGACAACTATCTATTTATTTTCTTCTCATTTATCTAACCCAACAAAAAAAGAAAAAGAAAAATAAAAGATTCTTCTACTCTTTTTGTAAAATTTATTTTTTATTTCAAATTTAATATAACCTTACTTGGAAAAAAAAAATATAAATCCCACAATGATGAGAGTAACCTTACATGTCCATGGCACGGTAGTAGTTCAAAGCGCCAGTGAATCCTGATTTTTCGAATTTGCTAGCTCGGAGTTGGAGCTCATCCTCTGTAATCCATGCAGGTAATGAAGATGGAGTGTCAAGAAAATCTACAATTTCAACACCCGGAGGAGCTGCTAGAAGATCAGGACCATCAATCAGCAACAACTTTTTTAGAATTGTTAAACAGTTGTATTGAGAAAATGACTTTTCTGTCCTTCCCGGCTCCTATACCACAAAAGAAAACACTCAATATATGTTATGAAATGCTTTTTCACAATGGAAATTAACATAAAATTCACAGACAAATTGTTACCTGAAATTGAGAAATGTAGAACCCATCTCCAAATATTTTGGTTAAGAATTCAGTTGGTTTCATAGGGGAATTTGGTTTGTATGGAACACCCAAGTTAACAAGAGCTTTGACTCTATCTGGTCTGAATAAGCAAAGGTACCAAGCAACTTGAGCACCCCAGTCATGTCCTACCACAAATGCCTATATAAGAGCACAACAACACTATGTTACATAAACTTCATATACCAAATGATGTGCTTGTAGCACTGAACTGAATGTGGGCTATATGATAACTAATCTAGATTTTTATGCCTTTAGTTGAACCATGGGGTATGATTGTGGTACCCAATTTTGCATGGTGATAGAACTAGGGTCAGACTTCTCTATAATTACTTGACCACCTGTTGTGAAAATTACCTTTTCTCTTACACGTTACAAGTCCGTGGTAGATTGGATGATCACATAGACTGGACTGGATGATTCTATGATTTAAAATAAGTGAAACTCTAAAACTATTTTTTGAATTGGCCTGGTTTGGTTTGAGTTGAAATAGTTTTTTTTTTTTGGGGAAGGAGGCGGAGGTTACTTAAAAAATCATTTGTCAAATTTCGCCTCATAGTATCAAAAGAAATTTATGGGAAACATGAAGATATCATTATTATTATACTTTTTGAATTCTATGCCAGAACATTTGTTATAACTTGTAAGTTTTTGTGATAAAAATAACTTAAATAAATTAGTTATTCCGAAATTAGCAAATGGATACTTTGAGATGTTATTAATAGATTATTAGCTTTTTCAACTAAGAAAAATGATAGCAAAGGCAAATAACTCAAATAACTAACATGCAACCTCAAAAAAGTAAAATTTGCATTAATGGGGGAGTGAGATATTTACCTGTTTTTCTCCAAGCTCGTCAAGAAGGCCAACCAAGTCTCCAACAAGATGTAAAACCGTATACGAGGCAGGGTCACGGGGACAATCTGAGTCCCCATAACCTCGCATGTCGGGTGCGACGACCCGGTAACCGTGTTCTGACAAATGGATTATCTGGTGCTTCCATGAGGACCAGAGCTCAGGAAAGCCATGGATGAGGAGAACAAGAGGTCCTTTCCCTTTCTCCGCAAAATGGATCCATATTCCATTGGTATGAACCCTTCTGTGTACAATTTCACTACTCATTTTTTCTAGCTTTTTTTAAGCTGAGATCATGGTGTTGTTTATGTTTTTTTTTTTTATGTTGATGGAACAAGTTTGTGTGGATTTTGATTTTCCAAGATAGTGTTTGAAGCTTGAAGAAGTGTTCCCCAAGGCTCTTGCTTTGAAGTTTCAAAGGTCAAACTCGTGTTTTTGACAATGGCGTCTCAGTGGTGTGAGTTGTTAGGAAAAAACTCACGGGCACTCACATGTCTCCATCACTAATCAATTATCAATTGCCATCCTTTTACTATTACTCATGTCTCAATATGAAATGAAATTGTCATATCAATTAGTATATAAGATGATGTGATATAATTTTATTAATTTTGAGTCGTTATATTTTGTATAATAAATGGAGTTTATAATTTTAAAATTACATTGTTATGGTATGTATTAATATACTAATTGATATATGTAACACCATTTATATAAAATCATAAGTTTTATTTATTTTTCTTTTCTAATCATAACTTCTTCTAAGCACCACTTGATTAATTATGTTCCAACACTACTGAATAATTTGTCTTTGTTAGACTAGAAATTTTATCAATATTGCTATTACAATTGTATTTTATTATTATATTATATTTTGGTTTTGTTTGGCAACAAATACAAAATTGTATTTTATTTTTCTAATTTTTTTTTAAAATTTGTTTCATTACTTTTTTATTTTTTAGGTTTGACAGTTCTAAAATGAATTAACTTTTTTTAAAAAAGCAATTAAAACAAAATTCAAAAAAAAAATTTCAGTGAATTTTTAAATTTTAAATTTTTTATTATAAATTTTCAAATATGTGTTGTTTCATTGGACCTAAAAATGAAAATTTTCTTTATTTTTATAAAAATACTAAAATAAAAAAAAGAAAAAGAAAAACGGATTTTGATAGGCGGTAATGGCATTTTTCTAATTTTTTTAAAAATTTGTTTCATTACTTTTTTATTTTTTAGGTTTGACAGTTCTAAAATGATTGAACTTTTTTTAAAAAAGCAATTAAAACAAAATTCAAAAAAAAAATTTCAGTGAATTTTTAAATTTTAAATTTTTTATTATAAATTTTCAAATATGTGTTGTTTCATTGGACCTAAAAATGAAAATTTTCTTTATTTTTATAAAAATACTAAAATGAAAATTTTCTTTATTTTTATAAAAATACTAAAATAAAAAAAAGAAAAAGAAAAACGGATTTTGATAGGCGGTAATGGCACACAATGTGCGCATGGAGAGAACAGTATTGGGCTGTGTTGAAAGAAGAGAGGGCTGGGTTTCATAAAACTGATCAGCACTTGATCTTGGGCTTGGGCTTAAATCATGCTCATCCAACCTTAGACCTAATAAACCGACCCGACCCATAACATCTCTAATGACGATGTGGCCCGACCCAAGTTCCAAAACCCTATTTTCATTGGTTTTAGATCTCCGAGACGTTTTGGGCAACTAGGTTGGGTTTTTTTGCTCTCTCTCTCTCTCTCTCTCTCTCTCCTCCGCAACACAACGATGGGAAAGAACAAGAAGATGAAGCAAGTTGGCGAAACCAAACACAGTCCTAACACTGTCTTCGTCTCCAACTTCCCCTATTCTTTCACCAACTCTCAGGCACCTCTCTCTCTCTAAAAATATATGCATATGTATTTTGTATGGATATGTGTTTTGGTATTAGGTATGAATTGTGAGATTGGTTTTGGTTATTTGATGTTTCAGCTTGAAGAAACATTCAGTGAAGTCGGTCCGATAAGGCGATGCTTTATGGTTACGCAAAAAGGTGTGTTTTTGAATCAAAGAGTTCTATTTGTTACATTTCACCAATTTGGCTCTTTTTTTTTTTTTTTTTGGTGTTCAATTCGTGCTTTAGTGTTTATTTGTTTTGTATTGTTTGTTTGGTTAACAGAGAAAAGAAAGAAAAATTAATTACTGGGTTTTCTACAGTGTTTGTTTATTGAAAATAGGAACTTGGCGTAGATGAGCTAAATAATTGAACTAGGTCCAGTTAATAACGCTATGTTTGTTTGGGCGAAAAATATTTTCTAATGGAAAACATTTTCTATATTTGGTGGTGGTGGAACAAAAGTGGAGGTGGAGGTGGCGGTGTGGTGGTGGGGTGGAGGTGATGGTGATGTGGTAGTGGCCGTGGTGATGATGGTGTGGTGGTGGAGGTGAGAGTGGCGATAATAGTGTGGTGAGATTGGTAAGCCTGTAGCTTGGAAAATGTTTTCTGCATTTTAAAAGGAAAAAATCGTTTTTTTGCACAAATAGGTTTGGTTTCCATTAACCATGGAAAATGTTTCATGTTTTACTTTGGTTTTCTATTGTACCAAACACCAGAAAATACAGAAAATATGTTCGGCCCAAACAAACTGAGCGTTTGTAATAGAGACAGAACTTAAATACAGAATATGTGTTCCATCCAAACAAACTGAGCATTGGTAATAAAGAGGTTCTCTACAGTGCTTGTTTCTTGGAATAAGAACTTAACTCAGATGAGCTAAATAATTGAACTGGGTCCAGTTATCAAGTGGACTTTCAAAGTTGTGATTTATTTTCTTCTCTTTTCCTCAAAATTTGCAACAAAAAGAGCCTTATTCTAGCCTATTTTGATAGTTGGCTCAATATTGTTTGCAGTTAATTGATAACTACTATTACTAATTACAGTTTTTCTTTTTGTTTTTTCATGTTCATAGGGTCAACTGAACACCGTGGCTTTGGTTTTGTACACTTGTAAGTTCTTTCTTACTTCCTTTTACTTCTTTCTGTCAGTGATTCAGTATAAGGCTTCTCTTTACCACGACAAGAAGTTATGTGTTTCATTGCCTCATATATCAATCATAATTCTCACCCTGTTCAGACTGTAATGTAACATTTTTTTTTTCCTTTCCCCAAATTGTGAGACTTGTACATTATTTCTTTCTTAAGGTGGTTTTATTTGATATTATTGAGTGTTGCAACATTCTTCTAAACTCAGTAAACCTTGGTTGGTTCATTAATTAGAAAAGAAATTAATAAATTCCCCACCAACTCTATTTTCAAGTTATTGAACCTGACATTCTGTACAAGTTAACAGGATCTGAATGAGGAAAATTTGATGAGTAGATAAATGAAAACCAACTTGTAAGAGGCCAGATTTATTGGCCTTGTTTGGTTTGTGTTTTGAGATATTATTTCAAAAATAGTTTTCCCGAGAGAGTTTAGAAAATTTGAAAATTTATTTGGTTGTATATTTTGAAAAAAGTTTTGGAGTTTGGAATGATTTGATATTTTTTTATAGTTGAATAGATGGGTGTGATAGAAAAAGCGATTGAGAAGGAGAGAGGAGAGAGAAAAAGTGATTGATTCATGTGTAATAGAGAGAAAAGTGATTTTGAATTTTTTTTAAAAAAAAAATTCAACTGAACATGTTTTTGGAATTTTTTCTCCAAAAACATGCTTTGAGAGACAAACCAAACATGCCCATTGCTATTTATCTTACTCAGCCGGGCCAGTTGGACCTGTCATCTAGCAGTCAGAGCCCCTGACTGGGTCAGATACAATTTTGACCCGCTTAAGGAACAAAGCTTCATGGGGTAAGTAGCTGGTTTTTGTGCAATCTGTTCTACCCAGGTAGGTCTTAGTGAGCTGGATTAGTTTCTCTCCTGTATTAGCCAAGTGGCTCAAGTTGAAGAGGTTTCTTCATTTGATTTTTGTTCTCTGGACATTTTCCAAATTCTGTTGCAACAGAATACAGTTATGTTAATTGGCACAGCAACATGGCAAAACTAAATTTATTGATTTGTTTATTGGTTCTCTGTTGATATTTAGCTTATTAAATGTGACAAGATTTTTATGTCTTCTTTAACTTGTTTGGTTTAACCTGGTGCATTGTTAATGCATGCTCTATAGTCTATGAAGCACGGTGCGGGTGCGGGTGCGGATATGGGTATAGGTACGCCGATACAGCAAATTTTAAAAAAAGTAGGGTACGGGTATGGCTAAGGTACGCTAATTTTTTTTTAAAGCTAAATATCCAACATACAAATTAAAGTTCAATAACATAATTAAAAAGAGAAATTACAAAAAAAAAGAGTAAATCATTCTTCAATAATACCAATATCAAGAAAAATAAATAAATTTATAAAAAAGTTTACACTTTTAATTATTAATATTTATAAACTTTTTCACTGATTTGCACTAATGTAATATTTCCCCTATAAATAAATCACAAAATTCATAAACTATGTCTAAATAAAACAATTTGAAAATAAAAAAATAATGATGAACAATCAAAGTTGTGTCATTTTAAACATTCAACCATTTCTCCCTGGGCATGCACTCTACTCTACTTCAAAATCACAGCAATAAAGAAGGCGACCAATCACGATATTGAATCTATTAAAAAAAACACGAATTGAAATTGAAAAAGAAGAAGTGAAGGAGTAATCAAAACCTTTCCAGACACTGATCTTGAGAGCTTCTTTGTTGAGAACTCTAACTCAATTGCCGAGGTATCTCTGCAACAGAGATGCCGCCTGATCTTCCAACATCTTCAAATTGATTGAGAGAGAGAGAGAGAGAGAGAGAGAGAGAGAGAGACTATGTATATGTACATAATTCAAGAAAAAGGAAGGAGAAGAAGGATCAAAGAAAGAAAAAATTAAAGAGGTCAGAAACAAATCAAAAAAATGAAGGAAAAAAAAGAGGATAGAATAGATCAAAAATGTGGAGAAAAAAAAATGAAAGAAAGAGGAAGAAGAATCGAAAATCTGGAAAAAGAAGAAGAGAACAAAGAAAAAAATCTAGAAGAATCGAAGAAGAGTAACAAGGAAAAAAATCTAGAAGAATTGAATAAGAGAACAAAAATCTGTTGCGAAGAAGAGGAAAAAAAATCTGAAAGCAAGAAGAAGAAGAAGAATCGAAGAAGAAGAGGAGGAAGATCGAAGCTAAACTTACTGGAATCAACACCTTCATATTTCTTTTCTACGTATTTCTTTTATGTGAAGGAGAGGAGGAGGAAGATCGATGAAGAAGGAGTCTCTGTTCTGCAAAGGAGATGATGAGATGATCGACTGAAACCAGGAAGTTTAGGAACCCTAGTTTTAATTTGTTTCAAGTTTTATTTATTACAAAAGAACCCCAAATTTATATAATTTTTTTAAATAGACAAAAATTTGCTCCGGTACCCAAAAACGTAACCATGGCGTATCCATCATTATACTGATCGCATACCACGTACCTGGTGTGTTTTTGGCATACTCGGTATGCGTGCAGCCGTACCAGTATGCGTACTCGCACCCAGTAAGTCTCCGGTATTTATACAGCAACATTTTTGGAGTACCCGTGCTTCATAGTCTATAGTGCATATTTTCTGTGATGTACAAATGTAGTATTGGTTACACTTATTATGGTACATCCCTACGCTTCCTTTTTCTCCTTTCTCAATAATCAATGCTTTATATAAATGCTTAGCTGAATTTCTGATGGTATAGTACTTGATATTGTGAAAATTTTGGTTAATACCTTACTTGCTTTGTTTTTTGTTTTTTACTTCTTGTTTTTGTTTTGCTTTCACTTTAAGGGTTGGTTTGGATGTTCTAAAAAAGTGTACTTTTTGACTTATTGGCTTATATGGGTTGAGTTTGGGTTGGGCTTGATGTGATGTGTTAGAGAGGTGATGTGATTTAAATAAGATGATGTGACTTAAATAGGATAGTGACCTTTTGACTTTTTGTATTATTTAGTGTACCCCAAACCAAGCCTAAGTTTATTGCAACTTTGCATGCAATTATAGTGCTGTGACAGAAGATGCTAACCGAGCTATTGAGTTGAAAAATGGTTCATCTGTTGGAGGCCGGAAAATAGGAGTTAAACATGCCATGCATCGTGCTCCACTGGAGCAACGTCGATCAAAGGGAAATCAAGGTTGATATGACTCACTGTTGTTTTGTGGACACACAATCAAAGACATGCATGCATTGGTGCACATATTCAGTTGTGGTGCTAAGTTGTCTTTTCATTGTGATCTTTTTGTTTAGTAGTTCACTCAGATGATCCAATCAAGACAGAGGATGACAAGGGTGATTTTTCATCTGGGGTAGTCAAGCATGAGCTGGCTTCAAAATCTCAAGAAACAGATTCAAAATTTGAAGCAATAGGTTTTGCACTCTGATGTTCTTAGCTAATATATTCATTTTTGTTATCATTCATTGTTTAACTCTCGCAATGTTCATTAGTTTTTATTTATTTATTGATGTAGTTGAATCTGCAAAACCTAGGAAAGCAACAGCAACAGCAGTTTTGAAGGAGATAACTAATGAAGGAAGAGGTTCAGAAAAGCAGAGGTACTGAATTATTCTTAGTTGGGTTGGGAGTTCTCCAGGTGGCTTATGTTCGCTGAATTTTTGGTTGGAGATCATAGGGCATAAGCTGGAGGAGGGACAAGTCTTCAAAAAATTATTTCTAATGTCTTTCTGTTTTTAGACTTTAGGTTTTACTGTTTATATTATATTCTTATATTAGATTTGTCATCTGCAAAAAAGATGCAGTGTCTTAGACAGTAAGTCAAAAAATATTTGATACCAAAATTTTAATCAAAAGGGAGGACTACAGTCACTTCTTACTTCCTTTTTTATTTTTATTTTTTTTGAGATTTTCAAAGTGTGTCTACACTGGCTGATCATGGATAATTAATTTGGCAAACAAAACTTATCCCACATGTTTTTATGTGGCATATGTGGTACCCTAGTTACAAGAAGCCATTTTTTCCTTCTTGAATTTGATATTGGTGTATGCTAAGGTTTTGTGGATTTGTTGATGTGTTTTGTGAAATTTTCAAGTACCATTGTCAGTCTAAAAAGTGGTTGAAATGATTCTGTTTTTGGAATTTGTGACCTCATCTTAAAATTCTGGTAATGTACTACTTGTTTCTTGTTCTGACTAGGGTTGATTTTAACTTATGGCCTTAGGCTGATGATGAAAAGGGATTTGCATAGCCAACTTCCAATAAGTAAACTTAAATTCCTACATGCTGAGGTTGAGTTCTAAAGTTTGGATAGTTAATCAATGTTGATTATGCTATATTTTTCTGCTAGCTATTGCATAACTATTTTTCTGATATGTTTCTCTTCTTGTAACACAATCAATTGCCATGTCATACTGTATTTGTTTTTGTTGATGTTGAAAAGGGTTGCTAGGACAGTCATATTGGGTGGGCTTCTTAATGCTGATATTGCAGAGGATGTTCACCGTCATGCCAGAGAATGTGGTACTGTATGTTCTGTAACTTACCCCCTTCCAAAGGAAGAGCTGGAACACCACGGTGAGATATTTAATTTTCTTAATAAATGGTTTATTTCTCTCTACATATTCAGCTGAATAATATAAGCTTTTTATACTGAGTATGCTTATATATTACACACAAAAAACTTGAAATTACTTAACTATGATGTTGTAGGATGTACATCACTTATTTAGTATTATTATGTCACTGTTTGCGTGAGTCACATCTCTTGTATGATGTTATGCAAGAGTCGTCATCATTTTGGCGTTCCACTACCTAATTTTACTTGCATCACAACTTGGAATACTAGCAAAATGACCATTAAATACTAAAGAATAAAGATGGATTGGAGGCACTAGATGTAATGTTTCCTCCTTTATCTCCTTTGTCTTCTCAATGAGAATTTTAGGCTATGGCTCTAGTTTTCAGGGTTTATGGTTGAAAGGGTAAGATAAAACTGCAAAGATGGATTAAATATCAAATTGCTAATACTTCAGGGATGTTTTTGAGGTCTAAAATGAAAGGTGTGAGGTTGCTGGATTTTTATGCTATAGAGAAACTCTTGGAATTCCAGCAGCAAGGAATTTCAGGTTCTTGAGGTTGGGGCTTACGTTCCAGAACTTAGGTTTTCAAGGTTTCAAAGGTAAGGGCTGGATAATATGGTACCTTGTTGAAAATTAATCAAATAGGAGTAGGAAGAAGAATCTTTAGGAATCTGTTTGTACAAAAAATGACAATCCTAGCGTGGAGGATCAGTAGTGACAAAAGACACGCCACGTGGGCCTGGAACAGAGGTTTGTTAAAGATTAGTATGTAGGAATAAGTCCTTGCTGCAATCTGATAGGCCTTGTAGTGAATTAATCGGGCATTCAGTAAATTTGATAGGCCTTTCAGGGAGTTTGACAGGCCTCACGAAACTAAACTGGCCTTACAATGAATTAAAAAGCTCTTTCAGGGAGTTTTACTGGACTTGCCATGAGTATGATAGGCCTTGAGAGTACTTAAGGAAGGCCTCATGCTAGGCTTTGTAGTGGCTTAAGTTGGTCCAAGGTGCTCAGGTGGTGGTTATGGAGTAGTGAGGTACAGAGGTGATACATATTATTGTGAACTACAGTGTTGGACATGGTCAGTAGGTTGTTATGTGTGACAAGTGGCAAACATACAAAAACATATGAAGAGACCCACTAATCACTAAAACAAAACATGGGAACATGAAAAGTGAATGTGGAGTCATGGGTAGTTATTAAAAATAGTCCCCTGTATATCTCTAACAACTATAAATGTGGGACATGTGGACGTAGATGGAAATCCAATTCCTAAACAAAATGAATGGTAGTTTACATGAGTCTCTATAATGGAGTAGTGGTCGAAGAAAGGGACATGTGGCACAAAGGGAAATAAAAGAGCAGAATTGTTGTGGTCAAGCATCAGTCATGCAAACAGGAGTCAAGAGTTCGTGGCCTAGTACAACAATGAAAGGAAGGGGATATGGAAAGAAAGACTCCTTGCATACATCAACAACTTCAACTTTAATTTATTAATTATCTTATTTATCATCATTGTAGTTTCCTTTTTCCTATCCTGTTTTCTGTTATTTTTAGTTTCTTATTATCAATCGCATTTTGTGTTTCAATTGCAGCAGTTTAATTCTGAACATCATCTGTTATGTAAATTTCCTATAATGAAATTGTTCCAGGGCTTGCTCGAGATGGGTGCAGAATGGATGCTTCATCTGTACTTTATACAAGTGTCAAATCAGCTCGTGATTGTGTTGCAATGTTACACAAAAAAGAGATTAGTGGAGGATTTGTTTGGGCACGCCAACTAGGTGGAGAGGTAATAATAATATTCCTCCCATGTTTTGAATGATAAATGAGGTATTTTAGCATCCAACTGGCAGGGATTCCATTTATTAGTTTGTGTTGCATGGATGTCATGGACGGAAAATTTATTGCAAAAATATATGAAATAATGCATTGATCATATATTGTGATCTAGGTGCTCGCTGATGTTTTAAGTGGGCAGTTTCGATGTTCTAAGTTTTTGAAAATTTGGTTAAAAGGAGAAAGGGATAGTTAAAAATTCGTTGAAGACACTTTATTTGATGATGTATAATTGTGAAACCAGGCTAAACTGATTTTTGGGATTTCCCTGGGAAATAAAATGTTGGTTCTTGTATGTTATGTTATTATCTGTTTGCTGAGTTTTTGTTTTTGTTTTGTTTTCTTTTTCCTCCTCACTTTACATGTGTTTAGTGTTAGCATAAAACTCGAGACGTCTCCTAGGGGACATCCCAGCTACAAAGTGTATACCCCCAATCTCGTCTTGTAAACAAGCACAATGTCTAAATTTCTTATAATTTCAAAGTTTTGACTAGTTGCTTCATTGTCAATGCTTGAGTTCAATAGGATGATGCAATTTGTTTATTCATTCATTTGAGTAGTTAAGATCATTGGTTTTAAAATAAATTTGCTCATCTGTCACATGTATATAGGATTTATTAGAATAACAAACTAATTAATGACTTCATGCTCTGTTTAAATGAAAGAGGGGAACAAATGGGAATAATAAATTTTTTTAATGTCTCAAAGAAAAAGTTTCATCCACACACCCGATTCCCTCCCTTATTGTTATTAAGTCATATTCTTATAGGTCCTTCAATGTGAGTTGCAAATTACTTTGCTCATTGTGGCAAAATTATGTTTCCCCTGGGTTTAGCTGTCAATTCGCTTTTGATGTTTTCCATCTCCTCGTAACACTTCTCCATTTTCTTTCTTGTCTGGTAATTTTTTGCTAAGAAAATTTAGTACTTCTTTAGTTTGTTATATTTACATTCTCTTCAATATCAGAATATTTTTAAAGCTTGTTTGTAGTTAATGTTTTAGCGATAACTGAATGCATACATATATATTACTATGCATAACTTATGCATCAGACAACTGCATAGGTGACTTGGGGGCTGTCACCATCACCTAGGCTCTGGCTATAGGTGATTTGAGAGTATTCCTTGGCAGACAGTGAAAACATCTGCTTGCTATTTGATCATTCATTCTTTATGGTTTATGCTTAACAGTCTAATTATTATTGTTTTTCAATTGAATTTGTGGTCAGGGTTCCAAGACTCAAAAATGGAAGCTTATTGTCAGAAACCTTCCATTTAAGGTTGACTTAATCAACAGTATCACTGTTCATCTTTATATGTATACTTGTATGCATATATGTTTGTACGGGTGATTTTGTGTATTTTGGAGAAGTTCTACCTCTAAACTAGTTTGCAAAATGTAAATGCAGGCTACTGTTAATGAGATAAAAGATATGTTTTCATCAGCAGGCTTTGTATGGGATGTATTTATCCCAAAAAATTCTGAGACGGGGTATACTTTAATTGTCCCAGTGTTATTCTTTGCTGTCCATTATGTGTCATCTCCTCATATCGTTTATACTAGTTATGCTGCCTTGTCAGGTTTTCAAAGGGATTTGCATTTGTTAAGTTCACATGCAAGCAGGAAGCAGAAAATGTATGGGTTTTAAATACATGATTTACACCAAATGCTGTGAAAGCTTTGAAGTTCAACTAGGTCACACCTTCTAATTTTTTTTCCTTCCATCTTTCTCCCCAATTGCCAGGCCATTCAGAAGTTTAATGGGAAAAAAATTGGTAAAAGACCCATTGCCGTTGATTGGGCTGTTTCAAAGAAAATGTATGAAACCGGTGCTCATTCAGTTGCTTCAGAAGATGGTAATTGCTGTCTTTGACAGTATTCGATAATCTTGTAATCAGTTTTCTCCTATTCCTGATAAGTTATCTTCTACATCGATGTTTACTTCCTTTCTATTCCTTGTCTCTATTGGTTTAGTGCTAATTTTTCTGTTCTTCAAGGTTGGACGAATTATTGATATTATATTAGAAATTTAAAGGAAGATGAATTTGAGGGAGAAAATTTTCTTTATACAAATAGTTTTTGGAGAATCACCGTGTATTATACATGTATATATTTTCGGACTTCCGTCGTGATCCTTTATTGACAACACATCTTTTCTATGCCATTTTTTTGGTGAAGACTATTGAGTCTTTATAGCTGAATGTATTATTTGCTGAGGAGCTTCTTCTTTACCCTTTCAATTCATTCCATTTTTATAGTTTGTAAACTGAATGTGGGGCCATCATCTCTCAATTGTTATCTTTCAAAGCATACTTCTCAGCTTTGTGCAAGAAATCTGACAATTTTTAAGTAGCTGTTTTAATTGTTACTTTTGCTAAACAATACATGAGCTTCAATAAAAGTAGCTCAGCCTTACATTTTGATTGTCATTGATGCAACTCCAATGTAATTCTCAAATGTTTTGACTGGAAGAATATAGAGAAATTGTTGATTCGTACTAATTTTGAAAGCATTCTAGCTGAGAAAGTTTGGACAACAAATCAAACCAAACCAAATTAAGCCTTAAGTCCCATCAAATGGGGTCGGCTGCATGAATCATTCTTTTCCACTCAACTCTATCCAATGCCATTTTGTTAGTCAAATTAAAGAGATTCATATCTCTATTTACTACACTAGTTCACGTCAATCTAGATTTACCCCTTCTCCTAACACTACCTCTGTTGGTCTCTGTTGTATATGATCAAACCATTTCCATTATTCTCTCTTAACTTATCTTCTGTCGGAACTACTCCTACCCATTCTTGAATATACTCATCCCTAACTTTGTCTTTTCTAGTCTTGTCACACATCCACCTTAGCATTCTCATCTTAGCAACACTCATCTTATCTATATGTTGTTTCTTAGTTTCCCAACATTCTGTCTCATACAAACATCGCTGGTCTAATAGCCGTTCTATAGAACTTTTCTTTTCATTTAATGGTTACTCGTTTATCACACAGTACTCCAGACGCACTCCTCCACTTAAGTCACCCTGCCTTAATTATATGGACCACATCTGCTCCAATCTCCTTCACAGTCGTTGTGATAATCGATTCTAAATAACGAAAATGTTTACTCTTAGGTAGTTCTTGGTTATCAATTTTCACTTCTCCTCTACTTCCATTGTGACTATTATTAAAATTACACTTCATATACTCTGTCTTAGTTCTGCTTATCCTAAATCCTTTAAATTCAAGTGTTTTTCTCTAAGTCTCCAATTTAGTGTAAACTTCTTCTCTAATCTCATCCACTAACACGATATCATCTGCAAAAAGTATACAGCAGGATACTGTTAATTTCATGTATAGAGAAAGAGAGAATACATTGTATGTATTGATTGATATTAATTGATTGTGTATATACAATGTTCAGAGAAGACTCTCCTTTATAAGGGAGAGTGTGTACAGAGGGGCCAAAAGTGGCCGAAAGAGGTAATGCACTAAGGAACAACATTATGAAAGCTGGTTGGTAGACAGCTCATAAACAGCTAGCTAATATACTACTAATGGCCCTGTTTGGTAGAGCTGTGGGAAAGTGCTTATAGCTTATGTCTCAACAGCTTATAGCTTATAACTTTCAGCTTAAGTTGATTTCCAGTTTATTCTTAAAGCATCTCCTGCTCCACTCAAAGAATAAGCTGATTTCTGATTTCCAAAAAGTTATAAGTTATAAGCTATAAGCTAAACTAAACACATCAAAATAGCTTAAATTAAGCTGAAAGCTGAAATAAGCTGTAATTAAGCTCTGCCAAACAGGCACAATATATTCTAACATTCCCCCTCAAACTCAAGGAGGATAGTGACAAACCAACTTGAGTTTGAAAAGAGTAACAAAAACGTGAAAATAAACTGACAAATAAGATAAAAGAGGATAGGAGACATTGTATGGTCGTGTCGAACCGCTGTAGAAGATACTGTATGGTGGTGTCGAACCGTTAGAGAAGACACTGTATGGCCGTGTCTATATAAACCGGAATCAATGTCGGGACAGTTTATGAGGTCATGCCGAATCGATGTAGAAGCTAATCGGAATCAATGTCGGGACAGTTTACAGGGTCATGCCGGACCGATGTAAAAGCTAACCGGAATCAATGTCGGGACAGCTTACGGGTCATGCCGGACCGATGTAGAAAATACACTGTATGATTGTGTATATAGGCTGCCCAAAAGATATACATGTATATATATATCGAGCCCTTAAAAGGCGCGCCCAATTCATCAAAAGTCGTGCCCGACAGAAATCGTCGAGCGGCGAGCCATCAAAAGTCGCGCCGAACACGCAGCGATGCACGTGATCGACAGAGCATCATGTCGTCCTCTTTGCCATTGTCTATATAAACCGAGGCAGAGGTTATGCAAACCAAACTAGTCTGAAACCTCTGAACATCTTCGTTCTGAAACACTCTGCAACCAACCCTTTCTGACATTACTAGTATGAAATTGCTGTTTCTCTGAAACACTCAGCAACCCAGAACATGACCTCTTCTTCCCGTTCAGCAACCCAGAACATGGCCTTTTCTTCCCGTGGTCTGCTCACCCTTTTTCCAGACCTCAACGAGTCCACAAGAGAGATAACTGGTGCGGTTGCCCTTGAACCTCAACCAAGCGCCCCTGGTTTTGCTCCATTGAACTTTCCTATGATGTCTATGGAGCAAATAATGGCTGCTCAATCTGATATTGAGGCCAACCATTATACATTAAAGTCATGTGTGGAGACCATGACGGCGGTCACGAACTTGGCTCACCGGCTTCAGAATAGGACCAGTGAGGTACATCAGGTAAATGCCCTTGAGTAGAGAGGGAGACTGAGAAGTGTGTTTTCAAACTGCCAAAAGGGAGAGAGAGAGAGTGGATTGAGTAAAAATATTAAAAATGTTTTCATCATAAAAAAAAAGAAGTGAGTGGGTGATATTATATTAAGAGGTTGGGTCCATGGAGAGAGAAGTGAGGTCAGGTTAGAGTCTTAAAGGCGGTGACCTTCTCGGCGATGAAGTCTCAACTGTTCATGGGAGCACCGAAGGCTAACGACGCTGTAGAGTTCTACAAGGCCGCGTTTGAGAGAGAGAGAGAGAGAGCCTATGAGAGGGAGCTTCAGTGGTGTTCATCGCCATGAGAGAGAAGAGACCCTCATCCCTCAAATTAATGGTGTGTTTTGGTAGCAGCACGGCAAGGGGGAAACGCCGATCGCCACCATAGACCAGAGGATGAAACGCCGATTGCGACGGGAGCGCGGCGGAGGCGTGGAAGCTCGCCGACGAGACAATTGGTGGTGAGCCTCGCCACGTGGAGTTGTAGTCGGAGCCACCACCGATGGCGGCGACGAACAGTGAGGAGAGAGAGAAACCCGATGAGGAGATTGAGGATGTAGATTCCAAAGATGGAAGAGCCACTGAGCCATCAGTTGTCGATGACAGTGCGAAAAAACCAACCACAGGAGCAACCAGTAAGTGAATCTGTTGAAAAGGAGGCACAAGAGCCATAGCCAGTGGAGGTTGTTGAGAAGGAACTCGAGGTGGAGCCAAAAGATAGGGACTGAGTCAGAGAGGTGAGCGAGTATCGGTGGAGAAGATCCAGTCGGTTCGAGGTGGGTTGGTGGTGATGGGTTGACTGGGTGAGTCAAGGACAACGACTCGAAGGAGTTGGGCGTGAAGGTGGTGCTGGTAAGTGGCGGTGCTGGTAAGTGGCGGTGATGGTGGTGTTGGTCATAGTTCGCCATCGCCGTTTCTGTTAGAGATAGAGAGAGATTGTGGTTGTCTAGTTGGAGTCAAACTCATGCATGGATCATAAATAGCCATGTAAAACGGCGGCCCACCGATGTCAATACAACCACCATTTTTGCCAACCCCATAACAGATTGCAGCACTGTTGCGGTGTGAAGAGAGCTTGTGTGTATGTTTTCCAAAGAAATGCTCCCCCTCCAACTCGAGACAGAGAGAGAGAGACCATGTATGTATATCGTTGTTACCCTATGAGAGAGGTGTTAGTGTTATTAGTATAATATAGCAATAATGTAATATTAGTGTGCAATATCTAGCTGTCCAGCTGTCCCACTAATGATAATGTTTCTGCTTTTGGTGTTAGTTAGTTAGTATCCTATGTGTACCACCTTTCCTCTCCATAAATGAATGTGTTGTAAATCACTGAATGATCAATCAATTGAATACATACAATTCTCTCTGTATTTCTCTCTTTATACATTGAATTTAACATGGTATTAGAGCTATAAGATTTAGGCCTATATTCCTTTCTTTCCGGCGGGCAGCCGGCTGGCAACCTTGCCTTCCCTGCCCGCTGGAGTTTTTCAACACATACCACAAACACATACCAGAAACTCTTCTTTCTTTGTTTCCTCATCTTCATCGTCACTAATTTCTTTCTCTGTGGTCTTCTCTGTCCAGAGGTAGATTGGGTAGCTAATGAACTTAGAGTGCTTCTTCACAAGTTACTTCAACTTGGACATACTCCCTGCATTGGAGTTGGCGGATGCATGTTCATCCCCATCAAAATCATCAACCATTGAATGTGTGTGTCCAGCGATGCAATCGGTTTTCCCATTTTGCGTAGTCTCAACATGCGCAGGGGATGCCTTATGATGACTTCTTTTTTGGTCTTTCATGATTCACAGATCTGATCTCATCTTCACTTGCATCATCATTAGCTGCAGCCAACCTGTATTCATTTCTTTTTGTGGACTTCAATTTAGATCCACCATTACAGTAAAGTTTGTAAACCAGTAACTCTGTCGTCTTCCGCCACCACAACGGCTACAAGTGCAGCGAGTGGCTCCAGTCCGACAAGATCTGGTCTGGCCGCGTCCGCGTCGTCTCCTGCAAGGACCGCTGCGACATCCGCCTTGAAGATTTCTCCTCCGGCGAGCTCTTCGCCGCTTGCTTCATCCTTCCCAGCCAGCGTGACACCTCCATCCGCCGCCGCACTCACACCATGCCGGACTTGCTTTGGTGCTACTGCTTTCTGCTTCACTATGTTGCTCCAACATGTTGCTCCACTACTCGAAGCTTCTTTCGCCATGGCGAGTCGAAGTGATGAAAACATTTTTAATCAACCCACTCTCTCTCTCTCTCTGGTTCCTTTCTCTCCACCAGACCCACTTTGATCATATCCATCATTCCCCCTACTTTAAAACCAACCTCTCTCTCTCTCGACTATGATACAGAGAAGTACACGCACATGAAAAAAAAAAAATAAAAAAAAATAAATAAATAAAATAAAATAAAAATAAATACAAAAAAAATAAAAAAATCAAACATTCTCACCACTTGATATTTTTTGCATGTCCTTCCCACCATCCGGGTTTGCACAACACATTTGTTTTATTCATATCGGGGATCAACCCAGAGCACCCTTTTAAAAAAAAAAAAACAACCTCCCTCACACAGGAGGGATTTTTCTTTTCCCTTCTCTACTCTACTGCAAGTCTCTTCTTCTTACTTTTATCTTGGGTGTCCCGTGCCAGCCCGGTCTCAGTGCTTCCTAGTCCACCGAGCACGTTCACTCCCTCCTGCTTCTCCATCGCAGCATATGGCGGACCTCCGAATCTAAACATAACGGTGACCTTCCGCTTCAGCTCCTTGTTTTCCGCCTTCAGCGCACATATCTCTGCTCGCGCATCCTTATACATGTGCTGGAGTAGAGCTAGTTGGGCGTTTAGCTGCTGCACCTCATTTGTCCTACTCTGAAGCCGGTGCGACAAGTTTGTGACCGCAGTCATGGTCTCCACACATGACTTCAATGTATAATGATTGGCCTCAATATCCGATTGCGCTACCATTATTTGCTCCATAGAACGGAGCAAAACCAGGGGCGCTTGGTTGAGGTTCACGGGCAACCGCACCGGTTATCTCTCTTGTGGACTCGTTGAGGTCTGGAAAGAGAGTGAGCAGACCATGGGAAGAAGAGGCCATGTTCTGGGTTGCTGAACGGGAAGAAGAGGCCATGTTCTAGGTTGCTGAGTGTTTCAGAGAAGCAGTGATTTTAGACTGGTAATGTCAGAAAGGGTTGATTGCAGAGTGTTTCAGAACGAAGATATTCAGAGGTTTCAGACTAGTTTGTTTGCACAACCTCCGCCTCGGTTTATATAGACAATGACGAAGAGGACGACACGACACCTCTGTCGATCACGTGCATCGCCGCGTGTCCGGCGCAACTTTTGATGGCTCGCCGCTCGACAATTTCTATCGGGCACGACTTTTGATGAATTAGGCACGCCTTTTGAGGGCTCGATATATATATATATATATATACATGTATATCTTTTGGGCAGCCTATATACACAATCATACAGTGTATTTTCTACAACGGTCCGGCATGACCTCGTAAACTGTCCCGACATTGATTCCGGTTAGCTTCTACACGGTCCGGCATGACCTCATAAACTGTCCCGATATTGATTCCGGTTAGCTTCTACATCGGTCCAGCATGACATGATCCCATAAACTGTCCCGACATTGATTCCGGTTAGCTTCTACAACAGTTCGACACGACCATACAGTGCCTTCAACAACGGTCTGACACGATCATACAGTGTCTCCTATCCACTTTTATTTTATTTGTCAGTTTATTTTCTTGTTTTGTTACTCTCTCCAAACTGAAGTTGGTTAGTGCCTATCCTCCTTGAGTTTGAGGGGGGCTGTTAGTGTTATTAGTAAAATATAACAATAATGTAATATTAGTGTGCAATATCTAGCTGTCCAGCTGTCCCACTAATGATAATGTTTCTGCTTTCGGTGTTAGTTAGTTAGTATCCTATGTGTACCACATTTCCTCTCTATAAATGAGTGTGTTGTAAATCACTGAATGATCAATCAATTGAATACATATAATTCTCTCTGTATTTCTCTCTTTATACATTGAATTTAACAAGAGGTTGATCTTTGTATGTGGAGAAGTTGCCTCTGGTGGCGGCGAACTGGAGGCTATATGTATTGATAGAGATGACAGCGGAGTAGGTTGAGGTCCGGCGGGCGGCTAAGGTGAGGTTGCCGCTCGGCGGTGAAGCGAAGATACTAGGTTCTAAACCCGCTCTGATACCATGTTAATTTCATGTATAGAGAAAGAGAGAATACATTGTATGTATTGATTGATATTAATGGATTGTGTATATACAATATTCAGAGAAGACTCTCCTTTATAAGGGAGAGTGTGTCCAGAGGGGCCAAAAGTGGCCGAAAGAGGCAATGCACTAAGGAACAACATATGAAAGCTGGTTGGTAGACCGCTCATATACAGCTAGCTAATATACTACTAATATATTCTAACAGATACATCATCCTGAATATTGCTTGTCAACTCATCCATAACTAAAGCGAAAATATAAGGATTTAAGGTTGATCCTTGGTGTAAACCTACAATAATTGGAAATCCACTCATCTTTCCAGCAGGCGATCTAGTAGTGGTCACCACACCTTTGTACATATCTCTAATCACATCAATGTAACCTTTTGTCACCCCTTTCTTCTCTAACACCCACCAGATTATATCTCGAGGCCTTCTATCATATGCTTTCTCAAGATTGATAAAAACTAGGAAAGTTTGGATGGATTTACTATTATGGGCAAAAGGTTCTAATTCGAGTTTTGTTTCTCTGGTGTCATGAAGGACCACAAGACACATTTCTTTTCCTGGCATGCTCTGTCGTATGAAGCTCTATATATACTGATTAGTACTAAGATGCCTACTTGAGGCATGGGGGAAGTCTGTTACATTAACTTAAGCCTGAAGGCTTTTTCTTAGAGCCTCTATTTGGATGAGCCCTCCATTATATGCTTGGAAACCCTTTGTACAGAGGCTGCGCTCCTTTTGGTGTGTTGAATGCAATCTTTTCTTATAAACCAAACCAAACCCAAACCAAACCAAGCCAAGCCAAGCCTTAAAATCCCATCAAATGGGGTCGGCTACATGAATCCTTCTTCTCTATGCAGCCCTATCAAAGGCCATTTCATTAGTCAAATTAAGTAGATTCATATCTCTATTTATAACGCTAGTCAACGTTAATCTAGGCCTACCCCGTCCCCTAATACTTCTATCTACCGTTACAGCATCGCATCTCTTCACTACTGCCTCTGTTGGTCTCCGTTGAATTTGACCAAACCATCTCAAACGATTCTCTCTCAACTTATCTTCTATCGGTGCTACTCTTACCCATTCCCGAATACACTCATTCCTAATCCTGTCCTGTCTAGTCTTACCACACATCCACCTTAGCATCCTCATTTCAGCCACACTCATCTTATCTACATGATGTTTCTTAGTTGCCCAACACTCCGTCCCATACAATATAGCTGGTCTAATAGCCGTTCTATAAAACTTACCTTTTAGTCTAGTGGGGACAGAGCATCATGTCGTCCTCTTTGCCATTGTCTATATAAACCGAGGCAGAGGTTATGCAAACCAAACTAGTCTGAAACCTCTGAACATCTTCGTTCTGAAACACTCTGCAACCAACCCTTTCTGACATTACTAGTATGAAATTGCTGTTTCTCTGAAACACTCAGCAACCCAGAACATGACCTCTTCTTCCCGTTCAGCAACCCAGAACATGGCCTTTTCTTCCCGTGGTCTGCTCACCCTTTTTCCAGACCTCAACGAGTCCACAAGAGAGATAACTGGTGCGGTTGCCCTTGAACCTCAACCAAGCGCCCCTGGTTTTGCTCCATTGAACTTTCCTATGATGTCTATGGAGCAAATAATGGCTGCTCAATCTGATATTGAGGCCAACCATTATACATTAAAGTCATGTGTGGAGACCATGACGGCGGTCACGAACTTGGCTCACCGGCTTCAGAATAGGACCAGTGAGGTACATCAGGTAAATGCCCTTGAGTAGAGAGGGAGACTGAGAAGTGTGTTTTCAAACTGCCAAAAGGGAGAGAGAGAGAGTGGATTGAGTAAAAATATTAAAAATGTTTTCATCATAAAAAAGAAATGAGTGGGTGATATTATATTAAGAAGTTGGGTCAATGGAGAGAGAAGTGAGGTCAGGTTAGAGTCTCAAAGGCGGTGACCTTCTCGGCGATGAAGTCTCAGCTGTTCATGGAAGCACCGAAGGCCAACGACGCTGTAGAGTTCTACAAGGCCGCGTTTGAGAGAGAGAGAGAGCCCATGAGAGGGAGCTTCAGTGGTGTTCATCGCCATGAGAGAGAAGAGACCCTCATCCCTCAAATTAATGGTGTGTTTTGGTAACAACACGGCAATGGGGAAACGCCGATCGCCACCATAGACGAGAGGATGAAACGCCGATCGCGACAGGAGCGCAGTGGAGGCGTGGAAGCTCGCCGATGAGACAATTGGTGATGAGCCTCGCCACGTGGAGTTGTAGTCGGAGCCACCACCGATGGCGACGACGAACAGTGAGGAGAGAGAGAAACCCGATGAGGAGATTGAGGATGTAGATTCCAAAGATGGAAGATGCCACTGAGCCATCAGTTGTCAATGATAGTGCGAAAAAACCAACCACAGGAGCAACCAGTAAGTGAATTTGTTGAAAAGGAGGCGCAAGAGCCACAACCAGTGGAGGTTGTTGAGAAGGAACTCGAGGTGGAGCCAAAAGATAAGGACTGAGTCAGAGAGGTGAGCCAGTATCGGTGGAGAAGATCTAGTCGGTTCGAGGTGGGTTGGTGGTGATGGGTTGATTGGGTGAGTCAAGGACAGCGACTCGAAGGAGTTGGGCGTGAAGGTGGTGCTGGTAAGTGGCGGTGATGGTGGTGTTGGTCGTAGTTCGCCATCGCCATTTCTGTTAGAGATAGAGAGAGATTGTGGTTGTCTAGTTGGAGTCAAACTCATGCATGGATCATAAATAGCCATGTAAAATGGCGGCCCACCGATGTCAATACAACCACCATTTTTGCCAACCCTATAACAGATTGCAGCACTGTTGCGGTGTGAAAAGAGCTTGTGTGCATGTTTTCCAAAGAAATGCTCGCCCCCTCCAACCCGAGACAGAGAGAGAGAGACCATGTATGTATATCTTTGTTACCCCATGAGAGAGGTTTTAGTGTTATTAGTATAATATAGCAATAATGTAATATTAGTGTGCAATATCTAGCTGTCCAGCTTTCCCACTAATGATAATGTTTCTGCTTTCGATGTGTGTTAGTTAGTATCCTATGTGTACCACCTTTCCTCTCTATAAATGAATGTGTTGTAAATCACTGAATGATCAATCAATTAAATACATACAATTCTCTCTATATTTCTCTCCTTATACATTGAATTTAACATGGTATCAGAGCTATAAGATTTAGGCCTATATTCCTTTCTTTCCGGCGGGCAGCCGGCCGGCAACCTTGCCTTCCCTGCCCGCTGTAGTTTTTCAACACGTACCACAAACACATACCAGAAACTCTTCTTTCTTTGTTTCCTCATCTTTATCGTCACTAATTTCATTCTCTGTGGTCTTCTCTGTCCAGAGGTAGATTGGGTAGCTAATGAACTCAGAGTGCTTCTTCACAAGTTCCTTCAACTTGGACATACTCCCTGCATTGGAGTTGGCAGATGCATGTTCATCCCCATCAAAATCATCAACCATTGAATGTGTGTGTCCAGCGATGCAATCGGTTTTCCCATTTTGCGTTGTCTCAACATGTGCAGGGGATGCCTTATGATGACTTCTTTTTTGGTCTCTCATGCTTCACAGATCTGATCTCATCTTCACTTGCATCATCATCAACTGCAGCCAACCTGTATTCATTTCTTTTTGTGGACTTCAATTTAGATCCACCATTACAGTAAAGTTTGTAGACCAGTAACTCTGTCGTCTTCCGCCACCACAACGGCTACAAGTGCGGCGAGTGGCTCCAGTCCGACAAGATTTGGTCCGGCCGCCTCCGCGTCGTCTCTTGCAAGGACCGCTGCGACACCCGCCTTGAAGATTCCTCCTCCGGCGAGCTCTTCGCCGTTTGCTTCGTCTTTCCCAGCCAGCGTGACACCTCCATCCGCCGCCGCACTCACGCCGTGCCGGACTTGCTTTGGTGCTACTGCTTTCTGCTTCATTATGTTGCGCTCCAACATGCTGCTCCACTACTCGAAGCTTGCTTCGCCATGGCGAGTCGAAGTGATGAAAACATTTTTAATCAACCCACTCCCTCTCTCTCTGGTCCCTTTCTCTCCACCAAACCCACTTTAATCATATCAATCATTCCCCTTACTTTAAAACCAACCTCTCTCTCTCTCTCGACTATGATACAGAGAAGCACACGCACATGAAAAAAAATAAAAAAATAAATAAAAAATAAAAATAAAAAAATCAAACATTCTCACCATTTGATTTTTTCTGCATGTCCTTCCTACCATCCGGGTTTGCACAGCACATTTATTTTATTCATATCGAGGATCAACCCCGAGCACAGTTCTACTCTCAAAAAAAAAAAAAACCACCTCCCTCACACAGGAGGGTTTTTTCTTTTCCCTTCTCTACTTTACTACAAGTCTCTTCTTCTTACTTTTATCTTGGGTGTCCTGTGCCAGCCCGGTCTCAGTGCTTCCTAGTCCACCAAGCACGTTCACTCCCTCCTGCTCCTCCTCCTCCTCCTCCATCGCAGCATATGGCGGACCTCCGAATCTGAACATAACGGTGGCCTTCCGCTTCAGCTCCTTGTTTTCCGCCTTCAGCACACATATCTCTGCCCGTGCATCCTTATACATGCGGTGGAGCAGAGCCAGTTGGATGTTTAACTGCTGCATCTCATTTGTCCTACTCTGAAGCCGGTGCGACAAGTTTGTGACCGCAGTCATGGTCTCCACACATGACTTCAATGTATAATGATTGGCCTCAATATCCGATTGTGCTGCCATTATTTGCTCTATAGAACGGAGCAAAACCAGGGGCGCTTGGTTGAGGTTCAAGGGCAACCGCACCGGTTATCTCTCGTGGACTCGTTAAGGTCTGGAAAGAGAGTGAGCAGACCACGGGAAGAAGAGGCCATGCTCTGGGTTGCTGAACGGGAAGAAGATGCTATGTTTTGGGTTGCTGAGTGTTTCAGAGAAGCAGTGATTTCAGACTGGTAATGTCAGAAAGGGTTGATTGTAGAGTGTTTCAGAACGAAGATATTCAGAGGTTTCAGACTAGTTTGGTTTGCACAACCTCCGCCTCGGTTTATATAGACAATGACGAAGAGGACGACACGATGCTCTGTCGATCACGTGCATCGCCGCGTGTCCGGCGCGACTTTTGATGGCTCGCCACTCGACGATTTCTATCGGGCATGACTTTTGATGAATTGGGCGCACCTTTTGAGGGCACGCCTTTTGAGGGCTCGATATATATATATATATATACATGTATATCTTTTGGGCAGCCTATATACACAATCATACAATGTGTTTTCTACAACGGTCCGGCATGACCTCGTAAACTGTCCCGACATTGATTCCGATTAGCTTCTACACGGTCCGGCATGACCTCATAAACTGTCCCGACATTGATTCCGGTTAGCTTCTACATCGGTTCGGCATGACCCCATAAACTGTCCCGAGATTGATTCCGGTTAGCTTCTACAACGGTTCGACACGACCATACAGTGTCTTCAACAACAGTCTGACACGACCATACAGTGTCTCCTATCCACTTTTATTTTATTTGTCAGTTTATTTTCTTGTTTTGTTACTCCAAACTCAAGTTGGTTAGTGCCTATCCTCCTTGAGTTTGAGGGGGGCTGATAGTGTTATTAGTATAATATAGCAATAATGTAATATTAGTGCGCAATATCTAGTTGTCCAGCTGTCCCACTAATGATAATGTTTTTGCTTTCGGTGTTAGTTAGTTAGCATCCTATGTGTACCACCTTTCCGCTCTATAAATGAGTGTGTTGTAAATCACTGAATGATCAATCGATTGAATACGTACAATTCTCTCTGTATTTCTCTCTTTATACATTGAATTTAACAAGAGGTTGATCTTTGTATGTGGAGAAGTTACCTCTGGTGGCGGCGAACTGGAGGCTATATGTATTGATAGAGATGACAACGGAGTAGGTTAAGGTCCGGCGGGCGACTAAGGTGAGGTTGCCGCCCGCCGGTGAAGCGAAAATAATAGGTTCTAAAGCCGCTCTGATACCATGTTAATTTCATGTATAGAGAAAGAGAGAATACATTGTATGTATTGATTGATATTAATGGATTGTGTATATATAATGTTCAGAGAAGACTCTCCTTTATAAGGGAGAGTGTGTACAGAGGGGCTAAAAGTGGCCGAAAGAGGCAATGCACTAAGGAACAACATTATGAAAGCTGGTTGGTAGACCGCTCATATACAGCTAGCTAATATACTACTAATATATTCTAACAGATACATCATCCTGAATATTGCTTGTCAATTCATCCATAACTAAAGCGAAAATATAAGGATTTAAGGTTGATCCTTGGTGTAAACTTACAATAATTGGAAATCCACTCGTCTTTCCAGCAGGCGATCTAATAGTGGTCACCACATCTTTATACATATCTCTAATCACATCAATCTAACCTTTTGTCACCCCTTTCTTCTCTTACACCCACCAGATTATATCTCGAGGCCTTCTATCATATGCTTTCTCAAGATTGATAAAAACTAGGAAAGTTTGGATGGATTTACTATTATGGGCAAAAGGTTCTAATTTGAGTTTTGTTTCTCTGGCGTCATGAAGGACCACAAGACACATTTCTTTTCCTGGCATGATCTGCCGTATGAAGCTCTATATATACTGATTAGTACTAAGATGCCTACTTGAGACATGGGGGAAGTCTGTTACATTAACTTGAGCCTCGAGGCTTTTTCTTAGAGCCTCTATTTGGATGAGCCCTCCATCATATGCTTGGAAACCCTTTGTACAGAGGCTGCGCTCCTTTTGGTGTGTTGAATGCAATCTTTTCTTAAAAAAAAAAAAAAAGACAAGCTGCTTGGAAACCCCTTTTGAAAAATGGGCTCAAGGATATGGCCTATGTGTGGCCTTGATGTATAGGTGCAGCAAGACTAAAAAAAAATTTGATAAAGAAACCATTTACAATCCTTATGGGATCACCTTATGGAGTATTCCTAGAACATTTACTGTATTTGTTTCCAACTGGATTCATGAGTGAAAAGGTCTACTGTAGGGATAATCTTGGTTTTTAATTTTTTCAGTTCTTAATGTGGTAATATCCACCTACTTATTAAAAAAAATGGTACTATCAACCAGATCATCCTCCCTCCTTGCTTTCTTGAGAGAATGAAGTTTTCATTTTTTTGCACTTTCTAATATCACTGTGTAACTGTAGGAGTAATCTTGTTTTGGAATTTTTTTAGTTCTTATTGAGGTAGAGTGTCTACCAGATCTCTACATAGGAACTAAATGAGGCTTTGCAAAACTGGAAAAGCCAAAGAGTTCCATAAAAGAAAGCTAATAGCTGAGAGAGTGTAGACCATCTCAGAATCATGCTTCAACCGCATAGTACTCAAATTCAGTGGATAAATTACAGACTGTTTAATGCATTCGCTTCTGCCAATTTTTTTATACATTGCAATTTTTCATTCTCTGACAACCTTATGGTTCATGCAATTACTTACTTGGACAGGTTTACCTGTATTTAGCCATTCCTTTTTGTTGGATTGTTATATGAAAGAGGCTGGATATCTTTGACTATGAAGTTGAGGATGTTAGCTTCTCGTGTCTCTGATGCATAACTTGTGGATTTACAGGACAACAGAATGGAAACGAAAAGGATGACGACGGTAGTAGTGATGATTTGGAGGATAGTGATGCGGATAATGTTGAAAATACCCAACAATCTGATGGGGTTGAAATTGCTTCCGAGGACTCTGATATGATAGAAAAAGAAGACAACCCTCCTAAATTTGATTTTGACGAGGAAGCAGATGTTGCAAGGAAAGTTCTTAAGAATTTGGTCTCATCCTCAACTAAAGGAATGCCTTCTCTCGATTGTGATTCCAACCTATCCAAGGGAAATGAGCTTGATGAAAACAATGATGTACCCAACAAGCCATCTGGTGGGTCTGCTAATCTATCAGATATAACAAAACCTGTTAATTCTGAAAAAATCAAACAGACAAATCTTAAAGAGGCAAATGTAGAAGATTTGCAGAGAACAATTTTCATAAACAACCTTCCATTTGACGTTGATAATGAAGAAGTGAAGCAACGTTTTTCTGGATTTGGAGAAGTGCAGTCCTTCATTCCTGTTCTTCATCAAATCACCAAGTACGGATTGGATTTTTGATCCTTCAATGTAATTATTATATTTGTATTAAGTTTTCAATGGATGAATGTTTGTTATGCTATATATCTGTCCACAGGCGACCAAGAGGAACTGGATTTCTGAAGTTTAAGACAATTGATGCTGCGGATGCAGCATTTTCAGCAGCCAATGCTGCAGCTGGTTTGGGAATCTTGCTAAAAGGTAGACAGTTGAAAGTTTTGAGGGCTTTGGACAAGAAAGCAGCTCATGATAAGGATTTGGAGAAGACCAAAAAGGAGGATCATGACCACCGCAATCTTTACCTTGCAAAGGTCAGTTCCCTAACTCTCCATTTTCATCTCTGCTTGTGTGTCTGATGTTGGGCTGTTGTTTTTACAATTTGATTTGGCTATATGTGATCATTTCTCGTACGATTTATCTTTATTTCATTTTTTAAAAAATTTTATAACAAAATCCTTTTTTTTCCTTAACAGGAAGGTCTTATAGTTGAGGGGACTCCAGCTGCTGAAGGTGTTTCAGCTAGTGACATGTTGAAGCGCCAATCGTAAGTACTAAGAGTCATAGTTAAGTTTGTTTTTCATAATAAAAAGTGAAATACGTTACAGTGAGAAGAAATTCGTGGTCTACTTGTGGCTTAACCAATGTGGACACAAGGGAGGGTTAAAATTGTTGACATAACACATCCTACCCTGGAGATCCATTTTGTCAATCCTAAGTTCACCATTCTGGCCATTTAAACTTTTCTGTTACGTTTCTAATAAATCCAGAGTCGAAGTTATATAATCAGATGTGATAAATCGAATGGCTGTGTAAAGGAGAGGTAAGGAGAAGTGCTCCTTCCTATCCCCTCTCTTTCTTGTCTCTTCTTTTTATTTTTCTTTCAAACCTCCCTAAAAGGAACTTTTAGTGCTCTGGACACTTTGCTTTTGTGGTTTTTTAATTTTTAATTTTACAAAACATTGGTTAGGGTATGTCTTGTGCTTGGGTGTTAATTACACCCCTTCAACTCTCACTTCTAGATGAGGTTTATTGTTGAATGTAATTGTTTAGTGAGATAGTTTGCATTGATGAGACTAACAAGAGGTAATGCTACGCGAGCAATGGCTTATTGGAATATAGTAGATTTTAATTTGAAAAAGTTGATATTGATGAACTAACCTTTAAAATAGGTTTTGAAAGATAAGTAAAGAAGAAAATTTGATTCAACTTCAGTCAGTTAACATCTAAGAAATAATGAGAGGGCTGGCCATTCTGTTAGTATCTTTGGCACTGGCTGAATGGGTCTGGTCCTGGAAAGCTCTCACAGCCTAAGCCTGAGACAAGCAAACTATGCATCAAGTTTCACATGGAATCTATTCTCAATTCTTGGGTTATTCTATAGCAAATCATGGCTTAAGACCCTACCCTGTAGCCTCGCCCCACAGCACCCTCAAGATAAAAAAGAAAATTGATAGTGCAGATGAGCAATACTCGGTCCAACTCATTTTGTCCACTATTCCATAATATGTTATTTCATTATTTGCTTCTCGTCAATGAAGTCATTTGTAACGAACTTCATTTTTTATGGGTAAATTTCCGTAAACATTAGACAGATGTCTGATAGAAATCTTATGGAATTTTGTTGAAGGAAAAAATAAAATAAAAATAAAGGGAAGAAGACTGTTGAGAATAACCAAGAACTGCCAACAGAGAAATCTGCACAATATATGTTTTGTCCGAATTATAGTTTTTTTTCCCCCTGACATGATGTGTTCCATGCTTCTCCATACTCAGATGTGGCTGTTATGCTGCTTTTATGAAATTTCACATTCTTCAGCAAGGGTTTAATGCTACAAACTCTGCAGGTTGGAAAAGAAAAAGGCGACTAAGCTTCAATCTCCAAACTTTCATGTTTCAAAGACGAGACTTATTATATACAATATACCGAAGTCAATGACTGAAAAAGTGCTTAAGAAGCTTTGTATGGATGCAGTTACATCTCGGGCTACCAAGCAAAAACCTGTGATTCGACAGGTCAGTTACACAGTGATTAATGGTATCGTTTGACCATCTATATAGTTCTTCATACATGATATAATATTTTCCCTTAATTTTTCTGTCCATGCAGATAAAGTTTTTGAAGGATTCAAAGAAAGGGGAGGTTGTCAAGCAGAACCATTCGCGTGGAGTCGCTTTTGTTGAGTTTACAGAGCATCAACATGCACTTGTGGCTTTAAGAGTTCTCAACAATAATCCTGGTAATGTGTTTCTTTTGTTTTGGGCTTTGGCTAGTTCAGAGCTGAAAACTATTTGATGCATACAATATATTTTGTTGGGTTGATGCATCTATTGGACTCTGAAGTGTTCATATATGGGGGAGGGAATCTGTTTATATTGGGTAATTCTTACATTTTACATTGGGTAATTAATTCCAATATAATCAGAGCTCAAGATCTATGTCCTTCATGCACTATATTTTTATATACAATATATAATTGTAATGTGCATATATATGAATGTGATTACTGTTTATCTCCAACCTAAACTGGAATTTGCAAGTGTGAAGGGAAGAGTATATAATCCTGTGGTGGGATTTGTGAAAGATGAGACATTCAAAAAGTTGAAGAGTGTAACAATGATAGCTTGCTTGGTTAGGTTTTTCAAAAAACACTTTTCAGAAAATTCTACTTTCTTGTTTTCCGTGTATTTTTTGTTTTTGTTGAATTTTTTTTAATATTTTAAGCAAATTTTTTTTTTTACTTTTTCAACATATCTAACATAAATATACCTAAAAAGTAAAAAATTTGTGAAAAAAATCTTTTAAAAATTCACTAAATACTAAAAATACAAAAAAAATACGAAAATTCAGTACATTTTTATGTATTTTTTAATTTTTTCACAATTTTTTTACTTTTTAAATACATTTAAGTAAGGTGCATCTAAAAAAGTAAAAAAATGTTTAAAATTTTGAAAATATTCACTAAAAACAAAAAAACACGAAAACCAAAAGAGTTAGTGTAAGAAATTATGTATTATTGATTGATTGATATCTTACAAGATTCATGATTCTTATATATAGAAGAGGGTGAGTGTGTAGTAGGTAAAGAGTAGGTGAAGTGGAGGTGGTAGTGGTGTAGTGGGTTAGGTTTAGTGGAGTAGGTGAGGTGATTTACAGAAACTTTTGGCCCAGAGCATCGTCCAATTGTGGAGTTTGCTCTTGATAATGTTCAAACATTGAAACTCCGTAAAAGTAGGCTTGAAACACAACAGCAGGGTTCGCGAGATGATGCACAAGTTGTACAAGTTGTACATCAAAATAATGATTCACATGCCCATCCAAACAACTCAAGAAAACGTAAATCCGAAGGTGACGTTAAATCATGGAAGGCTTCTAAAACTGAAAAAGAAGACGAAATGGAAAAAAAAGTAATGCAGGGAGCTGCCAGTGGAGAAGGCAGAGCTACTAAGAAGCCGAAGAGTGATCACACAAGAGGAAGTGGAAACAAGTTTTCATCAGAGAAAAAGCAGGAACACTCAAAACAGAGGTTAAAGAATCACCAACATGGAGGAAATTTTGAGGATCAGAAATCACTCCGAGGTGAAAATAAGGGGATTAATGCTCTTAAGCCCCAATCTTTTGGTGAAGGGGATCTGCAAACGAGCAAGTGGAAATCAAGAGATCAGACCGAACAACAGAAGGAAGGTATTAGTTTGAAGAAAAGAAAAAGGGGAAAAAACAACAAAGAAGCACTAGGGCAAGATGCAGCAGACAAACTTGACATGCTCATTGAACAATATAGAAACAAGTTTTTGCAGCACGGTTCTGGCAAAACGAATGGTGAAAAGCAAAATTCTAGACAGCTTAGAAGATGGTTCGAATCTTGATTCTGTTACAGTTTTTGTAGCCTTTTTGTGAGGAGTTGATGATGCAGATTATTAACTCTGGATTTGTTAAAAGTTTTGACGATTTTGAGGAAACCCTAGAATTAAGCAATCTGTTGTGTGTACACGTCATCTATTCCTTATTTCTGTTACAATTTTTGTAGTCTTCTTGCGAGGGGTTGATGATGCAAATAATGAACTGTGGATTTGTTGAAGGTTTGACAATTTTGAGGAACACTGAATTAAGCAATCTATAGTGTACAAATTCTCTGTTCCTTAGTAGCAACAAACTCCTGTGGGGCCTCGTTCCTCACGCTCTGCCCTCAACCTTAAACTATTCTATAGGCCCTTCTCTCTCAACCTTAAATTGTTCGACCCCCACTCTCCTCTCCTGCTCTTGCTTGGTGGTGACTAGCGTCTAGTCTTTATTGACAACTACTCGATCTTCATCTCAACAAATCCAGTTGTTGAAGAATCTGACTGTGCTAGGATTGCCAGCTAGAGCAAGGTAGAATGGAGGGTTTGATGATTGAAGCATTGGATCGTAACGTGTCATCATTGTGGGTCAGATTATGAAATTCTTGCGGTTCCATTGATAAAAGGTATAGTTAATGGTTACTTATTTTGGCTAATTAGATGCTCAGAATCAACCTGTCTTCATCATCATCCATTATGTGGAAGTTGGACAATAAATAATTTGGAAAGCACAAGAATGAGGGTTGTGTGAATAGAACTTTAACTTGTGTAGGGACCCAAAACCATCCCTAGCAAAATTCATCATAAAAAGTACTTGAAGCTAACACATTTGGGTTCAAGGTTTTCATATATTGGTTTAAGAAAATGTTCGGGTAAAAAATGCATTGAAATTGCTTTTACATTAGTTTCACTTTAAAGACAACCTGTAAGACTATCATTAACATGATCATTGGTTTAAAAATCTAATAATGTGGTTGAATATTATTAAGAGATTTGTGAAGAGAAGAAAAGTGGGTGTAAAAAAAAAAAATTACGGTGTTTTGAGAAAATGGTAAAAAGTGACTTTTTGACTTTTAATCAAGTTTTTTGGCTTTTTCAAAAAGTCATTTGGGAAGATGGTAAACAGTTATTTTTTGACTTTTTGCTTAATATTTTTTTATGTTGTCATATCACCATGCCTTACTATAAATTGACCAAAATACCCCAATCTCATTTGGTGATTTTTTTTGCGAACCTAAAGTGAATGGGGAGGGTATATTTGTAAATTGCCATATTGCGTTTAAGCTGCTTTCCAAATGGGATTCTGGACAAAAAAAAGCCAACGTTTGACTTTTTACCAAAACGCACAAATGCTACTTTTTACCACATACCCAAACCAGGCGTAATTTGTTCATTTTTCTTTTAATTATCTTCCAAATTTAAAATTTAAAAACAACCTTAATAGGATATAGTGTTTTTCTTTTTCTTCTCTGGTATTTTTATTTTTTTAATTTTTAATTTTGTATTTTTGTTAGACTTATTGGTAGGTACATCACCAAGGATGTTGCTTTGAAATCATGAGGAATGGGCATGCAAAATAAATATACATATACATATACATATATAGGAGGATAATGATATTTGCTTGTCTGCCATCTGCTATTGCTGGCTCAATTGCACTTAGCTGGTGCGAAGTTGCATGATGACAAATTGCTTGTTAAATGGGAAAGTGCATAGAAAAGAAAAGAAAAGAAAAGAAAAGAAGAGCAAAAAACAACGTTAGACAAACCACTCTCTTGGATGCATTGGGAACCCTACTTTTCATTTCTAGTACCTCTAATGTGAAATCACCTGAAAAAACATTTTAACATACAGAAATATGTTTGGTTGTGTTTTTATTTTGTTTTGTTTATTTTTAAAAACAAAAAGCAAGGTTTCATTTCCTCCTCCCCTATAAAATGTATTACTCTGTTCCACAATTATTTATTTTTTTTGGAAAGGTTAGAAAATGCCTATTGTTTTTATATCATTTTACTTTTGTGATAAATTAATTTTATAAAATTCAAAAACATTTTTTTTATATTTCTTAAAAAAGAAATATTTTTTCAAAAACAATTCGTGAAAATGATTTTCCAACAAATTTTATATTTTTCAAAAAAAAAAAAAAAAAAACTCAACCAAAATGAAAATTACAAAATTTGCTTGTTAATTTTTTTAATTTAACAAACAAACAAATAGTTTGATGGATTTATGCACCTATTTTTTTTAATTTTTTTTTTCAATATTTTTAATGTATGTGGAATCAAAACGTGAACAAAGTAAACAAATTTGTATGTTGACGTGTGATATTCTTTCAAGGGAAATACGAAAATATTCTGGAGAACATGTCTCTCAGATTGTAGTAGAGCTTTGTCGTGTCACTTGTTTTATTTGTTTGAACATTGCATACCGACAATGTCACGGATATGCAGCAGAGACACCTACTACTACCATACTATTCACTACGACCTAGTGATTGGTTTAGTGGGTAAAAATTTGAATTTTTGCATTCAGTGTTTTGAGTTTGGATCTTCATAGTATTCTTCAACGCCTATAGTCTATGGCGGTACCTTGCTTTTAGTTCCAACATAGGTATCATAAAATTTCCTTCAGATTCTTCGTAGTGCCGATAGGGCAATATTTTCTTATAGATATGTGAGTAATCTATCCATGTATTTATTTTTTGAATAAATAAATGAGAAATTTAGTTATAAATTTATTTTACCTTCCTTTCATTGTTAAAAGGACTAAGAAAAAAATTATACTTTTTAAACCCCCTCATAATTATAAAGTCTTGCATAAAGGACAAAAGTTATTATTTAAATATTTTATATGACTATTATACCCTCAACTAATTCTTCCCACTCTCTTCCTCACTCTCTTCCTTTTTAAATCCACAGACAGCTTCTGCATATATAATCAGGGAGTGTTAGATTTTTGATCAATTTGCAATCAATTTTTTTGTTGGTAACGGTTAAGAGATTCGGATTAGAGAGATGATCAGAACTGGTGCTGTTTCGCAGCGGAAGAGATCGTCGGAGATGATCAGAGAAAGCTTTGACAATTCGACAACTGATCGCAGTCGTCATTAGTCCTCTCTTCATCTTCATAATCAGCAACGTCATCGTCATCACTCTCCTAGCCAAGTCCGGTCAGTTATCAGGCGAAACTCCGACGATCAACAATGCCGAAACCGATCTCTACGATGAACTCATCAAGAACATCGGGAACGAAATCAATTACGGGTCGAAAAATTGTCCTCCGGTGCCGGAATCAAAGGAGATCGTCTACGAGGAGAAACAGATCATCTCTAAATTGAGACATGTTTGGTGGAGTTGTTTGGTTATACATATTTTTTTAAACACAGATTTGAGTTTTGAATATATGTATATATATATATATATATTTGTGTGTATGAGTGTTGTTGAACACATGTATTCTTTTCATTGAGATTTGTGATTGTTGATCGAGTTTTAGAAGTTTTTCTTCTCAATTAGATATGTTGATTTGTTGATTAATTTGTTTTGTTTTTGTTTGTTTTGTTTTTGATTTATTTTTGTTGTTTTTTATCAAATTTCATTTGATAGAACCAGAGTAAAATTTTACTCTGGTTTTGTCAAATGAAATTAGATAAAAAACAACAAAAATAAATCAAAAAAAAAAACAAACAAAAACAAAACAAATTAATCAACAAATCAACATATCTAATTGAGAAGAAAAACTTCTAAAACTCGATCAACAATCACAAATCTCAATGAAAAGAATACATGTGTTCAACAACACTCATACACACAAATATATATATATACATATATTCAAAACTCAAATCTGTGTTTAAAAAAATATGTATAACCAAACAACTCCACCAAACATGCCTCATA